TTCTGCTTTCTCTGAGCTTTGAACTCACAGTAAATCCTTTACACGCCCCCTTAATGCAGAACTGTTCATCAGTGTTTTGGAATAGTGATTACATCCATTCTTTATGCATGAAATACTTCTAAATCCATTCTTACTGCGGATTAAAAAAAAGCTCCAAAAACAAAGCTGGCATTGTTACCATAGATACAGCTGCGACCCCGGACAGAAGGCCTGTAAATAACCAGGAGGGGAATAACACAGACAGTGAATCATTTGTATTTACCCTCTTTTATTTTACTGAATTACAAGACGTGTTTGCTATACAGAAGGAAGGGTAGAGGCTTTTTTGTTTTCTACTGCAGCTGTCACTTTGGCTGACAAGTTCACAAGAAATGGCAATGGAATAGAATACCCTTGTGGTTTTGAAGCACTCATGCTAGTGGTGTACTACTGGTTAAATCGAATGCAAAGCATCTCAGATTGTTCAAATATTCAAGCCACATGCTGCGAGTCTCAAACAAGCTGTAACTCACGTTTTGCACATAGCATATCACAGGGAGGGCAAAGCATGTCTGCAACATTTGATACATTCTCTAACCAAACAGTTTTGCTTTTCTGCTATACTGACGTGAGTGGAAAAGCAAACATTATGTCCAGACATGCCAAAGAAAAAGTTAAAAGCACGTAGACAAATGTGAGGATTCCTCAGATGGCCACAGCAGACCTCATGTAGCCACTGTGGCCATAATGAGGCAACAGAAGTAAACTTCCACACGAGGTCACAGGGTGTAAAGTGATCCAAATGCTACAAGCACAGGATACACTAAGTGCGTCACATAGACATGATGAGCAACACAAATAGATCCACACGCACACACAAACACACACTTGAATTGGCATTGGCCACGATCAAGACTGCTTTCCAAGGAGCCTACAGACACATGACTGTGCCAGGAAGTGTTGCTGTTTGTTTTCATTCTCCCTACAGGACAGACAAAAAGGTTGGCGTCTCAAATTTAAGAGTGTTTTGTAATAACTTTGGGTTAGGTTGATATTTAAAATGTTGTTTCAGGTTTCCCGGGTAAACTCAAGAATCGTTTGAGCTGAAGAGGGCACTTCAGGGCAACAGCTGCCTAAAACAGCAATTGGGTGTTATAAAATATAACCCTCAAACTGCAATGTATCAATGTTTCGATTGTTGAAGGGTATGTGGAATACTTCTTGATTAATTGACTGGTCATTTAATCTATATAATGTCAGATTACTTTAATAAAGGCTAATAATACTTTCATCAAGCCTGAAAGTTACACTTATGTTTCTTCCTTTTAAAAGTGCAAAGCCATAAATACATAATCTACTATGAAATAAGATGCACATGCACCAAAACCTCACAATTAAGAAACTGGAGGATTGACTAATTGATTTTTGTGACATAATGAGCACTACAAAGCTGCTCAAGGCAACATTCGTCAAAAACCAGACTGATATAAAGTGTCTTGTAAGCACTTTGTTGTTTGTGCATGAGGTTATAGGGTGTCATGTTGAGTGACTGAAGTAATAGCTTGAATTAATAAGGTCATCTGACTGAGCTCAAATAGCCAAAGCCGCAGCAGAGGCGTAGCCAACATGTTTGATCTCCCTGCCTTAAATGACTCTCTGTCCTGAAGCTCAAAGGGAAAAAGTGACTACAATGGAGTTTATTGAGTTGCTTTGCCCTGCAGCAGGAGGAACTACTAGGAAGTCATCAGTTCTTTGTGTTTGCAGCATTATGAACAGCTTGTCACAGCTCAGCTCAGTTTGTTTTTCCAAAATCACAATTATAAACTCATTTTGATGTATTGTCTTTGCTGAATTGTTGGCTGAATTGGACATTTTGGATCCATCGCCAGCCTTATTGGTGACTACTTAACTAGCATAACTTTTATATCTACCCAAGGGTATAACTTTGGTTTGAGAAACTGGGGGAGACACAAAACAGGGGGTCCTCCGCAATGAAACATTGTTTTCTATTTAATTCCATTTCCTGCCTTTCTACAAATATATATTAGGGACTATGGTGTTAACTAATCCAAGAAAAATGTGTAGTGTATATAAGGAGTGTGCAAACTTATCTATCCATGAACCTGTTTTATTTGTGATGACATCACATCCTATAGGGGGGTCCGTAAGATTTGTTTCTTTAAAATTGAAGTTAAAGCATCAATCTGGTGCACAAATTAAGAGATTTATGGATACAACTCTCAACACTCATATGAAACAGAACTTTATATATTTCAATACTCCAAAAACCATTAGAATATGCTCACAACCAATAACACATCATTGATCAACTCCTCTCTCCTATCTTTATTTTACCTAGTCTGCATTCTATCTTTTTATTTATGCATATTTTACAAAACACAGTTTGAAAGGGAAGTGATAAGTAAAATATGCATAAATAAAAAGATAGAATGCAGACTAGGTAAAATAAAGATAGGAGAGAGGAGTTGATCAATGATGTGTTATTGGTTGTGAGCATATTCNCATGTTTATTTCTGCTGTAAATTTGGGCATTTTAACATGGGGGTCTATGGAAATTGCTCCCTTCTGCAGACTGCTCCTACTGGCCACTAGATGCATTTGAGGCACTTCCGTATTAGCGTCCCGGCTCTTCCCGAGAGTTTGCCGCTTGCATGAATCCCCCCAGACCCCTCTGCTGGCGTTGGGTTTTCAGCATGTGTGCCTTTTTATATAGTTCAGCTTTGATTCCATCATCTCATTNTTTTTTACTGACATTGGAATTATTTTTTAACTTATTTTGAACAACTATATTAAATAGATGGAAATATTTGTTTAGACCAAACCGTTTGAGACCCACTGAGATAACTAAAGTTTACAATCACTCAGCGAGTCCTTTACCTCCCTGAGCTGACGTTATCTCAGCCTCTCAGTCCGACAGGAGAGGACTCTCCCTCTCCTTATTGTTGAAAGAGCTTCTAATCCCGTTAGCTCCGTGCTAGCACCAGATACTAACAACAACCCCTGTAACTCTCTCTGTCTCTCTCTCTCTCTGTCTCTCTCTGTCTCTCTCTCTCTCTCTCTCTCTCACACACAAACTGCGCTCCTGCCACACACACAAACAGACGCTCCTCCGTGACGTATGGAAAGGGCTCATGTCTTAAGGGGTAGTACAATGTGTTCACTCAAAGGATCTAATTTTAACAAATTATAAAGAATAATGATGGACTCTGAACCTGTCTCCCAGGAAAAGTGACACAGATTGACACAAAAGCGTATACATTATACAATAACCAATAAATGGCAGGTTTTATTTTTGAGATTATTTCTGTTTGCGTTAATGCATTTTAAGGTGCACCTGTTGCAGTAATCACCTAAAAATGATCAAAAAGTTGTTGCATTTCCACATGATCTCACTGTGGATGTTTGTGGTGTTACAATCTGTGGTCATAACATATTTTGGCAAGATGATCCAATATCTAATGATAAGGTTACAACAAAAATCAGACTTAACCATGTGAAGCGGAGTCATTCTGCTCATCATGTGTTGTTGAATTATGATAACAGATTGTTATTCACAGTTTTACAGTGATATTCAATGTCTCCCCAAGTTATTACCTTAGAACAAAGTTCAATACTGGATTACACCATTACATTTATAGCCTTCATATTTCCCACCACTATGTTCATTGTTTCCTCATGTCTAACTGAACAGCCTCACCCAATTGTTCTTATGCTCAATCTGATTTTTAACTCCATTAAACCTTATTATTATTAACTGAGCGTTGTGTGCAACATGTTGTCAATATAACCACAAAAGATTCAATGTGTGTGTGATCTATACTAAGTTAACTTACACACACACACACACACACACACACACACACACACACACACACACACACACACACACACACACACACACACACACAGACAGGAGCCACCCTGCATCCCCTAATCTCCCAAAGTGGTACCAGGAAGCTTGGATCTAAAATAAGGAAGCTGGAGGAAATACAGCTGTGCTCTTAGACTCCCAACAGACACAACAGAGAGCCAGAGCTTCAATCAGATCAGGCACTGCTATCAAACCTTGTTATTATCTCAGGAGGGAAAACATAAACTGAAGTCTTTGTGTCTTCCTGTGTCATAAACCATGCGGCGTGAAGTTTATCTTATAGCCCACCTTACATGTGAAAGAGCCCATTCAAAAAAAAACAAAGATGAATGTAAACAAAGTGCTTTTCAAAGGAGCTGATGACCTACAGTATAGTATGTGGCAGCATAGGAATCTTTGCTGAGATATTTCAGTGATATACTGCACGGTAAACCACAGTATCCGCCACATCTTATCTGGTGCACTAAGTGGCACTACACTGTACAACGTTACTACTGGCAGAATCAGATAAGCAAATTGTGTGCGGCTCACCGGTGCGAAATGTAGCCTAAAAATAATTACAACTTTAAGAGTCATGAAAAACAGCAAAACAAATGTAAAAAATATAGAGGTGAACCCATGATAGAAAAGCAGCGGATATACAACGATTTCCGACGAATAAACTGCTGAAAGGAAGATGATTGTACACCTACATTAGCCCAACACACATTGTATCCTTTGCAATACTACCTAGTTTAAATATTGAGTCATTCGAAACTTTTATACGAGTAGTCTACGTAGACAGTTTTACAACTATGTAAAACAAAAGTCTGCAAATCGTAAAACAAACGATATTATGTAAAGGAGTACTCACCTGAAGTTAAGTTGTGCAAACAGATCCATTTACAAACTGTATCATCTACTGTCGGTGACACGTTATTGTTCACTTTACTCTGAGCGACAAAAGCTGCCGTCAGACCACGCCCATTCCTGCACCGACCAATGGCGTGGCACCAAGGCTTGCATTGGTAACTAATCAGAGCTCTTATCCATCATTTACAACACAGGTTTTTCAAAAAAAGATAGATAGATCCATTGCATAGTTGATACACATAAAATACTTTATTGCATTTATAATATTTCCATCAGAGAAGGCACATAGAGCATTTATTTGAACAGAAAAGTACCTAATTATCCAATCTAATGTTTAAGTGCTTCAATTCTATACAATATGTGCAGTGCTACTTTTTTCAGTCTTGGACAGGGGGTCAGGTTATTATCTCTTTAGAGAATATCAAAAACATATATTTAGTTAAATTACAAGTTTAAAAGTATGCAAAGTGCAATTCATTTGTTTTTTTATATAAAGATCTTTTTAGCACCACAATATAACATCATCAACAGTTGATGAAATAAAGGTTAGCACTCTGCATAAGCTAAAATAAGCTATCTCTACATAAATTACATTTATGTTACAAAGTGAGTCTTTATATTGTGTTTAGCTAAATCTGAATTGTTAAAGTAATCTGTACTTCATCTGAAGTCAGTTAGAAAGTCAACAGCACCCCCTGCTGGTCATATTTACATTGACTTCATTGTAACTCCTTAGGAGAAATGTTATCACTTAAGCCCATGTATAACAGTCATAAAACATGTTGATGTAACATCCAAGTAATTACATGCATACAGTATTTTACAAACATATTATTTACATTCTCAGATATAGTTGCATAATCATTCCTAATGGAGGCGTCAACAGGTCAACTGGTCAGACTGGTCAACAGGTGTACAATGTTCCCCTGGTTCCCGTGCCCATGTTGATTGGTCAAGAGAAACCTTTCCCCAAACTTTGAAACCAAGATGATGTCTACCTTTTTACATCCATCTCCTGATAGGTCTGAGGCTTATTTCTACTAGTCAGTTTGGCTGCCATCTCACCTTCAAGCCTGAGCTGCAGATTAACCCTGCTTGCCCAAATTACATTGAATAATTACTGTGGCTTCAGTCACTTCTCTGTCAGCAGGGAAAGAAGAACCAAAACCAGTTAAATTAAACTCAAACAGTTTTCTTCACAACAGTTAGGTATTGTCTTTCAGACAACGCTGGTCTGCTCATCATTAGTATGACTGCTTGTCTATTTATTCTTTGCCTTTCAGGTTCTTTGGTATGCATTTGTCTGCTGTTTCCTGATGAGTCTTTCAGAGCAGGTTGCAGTGTTTCAAACAGTTGCATCCATCTGCCGTTTGATGCCACCATCATGTGAACTTTAAAACAACAGTTTCATGACGCTGGGCAGAAATAAAAAACCGGTATGCCCTGTGCACTTTTCTTCTGCCGTCACTCTCTGTTTTTTCAGAGTATTGCCATGTGCACATACTATTTCCTTTCTGACCATCCTGCCTAGTGGTCAGATGTCTCAGGGAAGAGCCCCACTGAAAGTGACTATGGGCAGGCAGAGGAGGGAGCAGAAGGTGGAGTTGAGAGGCTGGATTTGAGCTGAGCTCGGAGCTTTCCTTAGCCTCCAGTCAGTGGAGCTGTCGGGTTTATAACACACGGATATGTCACATCTATATGGGAGAAAGGAAGATGTATGGGAAAGATAAATAACAACACTTTCAAGGTTTGTAACTTCTGTGTGCATGGTGTAAATATGTTTATTCAGAATTCATGTATGTTCCCTGAAAGGAAAATGTGGTTCTGTCGGCTAAAGATGCAGATAAAACAAGAAATTTCGGTTCAGAAACGATTTCTCTGACATGTGAAACTCTTGAAATAATAGATAAAGGGAGCTTATCGAGAGGAGCTAACACTTCTTGGAAGAACCATTTTGTTTATTGGTTGGTGGTTTACTGCTTCTTACCAGACACTATGTATGTATATGTCATCTGCGTGTGTGTATATCTGTGTGTGTGTCCACACCTTGTAACACTCTGCAGTATTTTTTTCTCGTCCTGGTCCAGACACACAGCAAAGGTTGTGTTTTCAGCACCGCTGACCTGCACCTTGTCCACCTTCACCTCTGTCGTGCTCAGCTGCTACGAAAGGAAATCAACAGACTACAATTAATGCATTCCACCTCAGATATTAACATTTTGGAGAAGTAAAATGCATTTTTTGCAGCTCCTTTTAAGTTGTTATACTTTTGATTTTGAAACACTTTTTTTGCGCTGAGTTGTAAAGAGAGAATTTAGCTAAAACTGATTATTTTAAACAGCTATGCAATCATCTGAGAACAAATGTTTCAATTCAAAATAGAGTCAGTGGTGAGCAAATAATATTATTGTCAAACACGCACAAGCAAAAGAGTATTTCCTGTGTTGTGGTTTTACGCTTCATAGAACAGTCAGGTTGAAATAATGTTGTTCTCAGCATATGTGATGAGAGATTTAGGTCAGGTGAGTTTGAGATGCTATCATAATGTTCTGAGGTCTCTGTCTTTAAATAGAGAGTTGCAGAGATGTATGTAAAAGCATGCTGCGTTTGTTTTAACCACCAACTACCGTGAGAGGCTGATGTCACGTATACTGTAGCTCACCTGGTTGTAGCCCTTCTTGCATTTACCGCTCTGCCTCTTAAGGACCTCAGTCATTGTGAGCTGTAGGCACTCCATCTTTGCGTCTGAAAGAGAATGCTTTAGTTAAAATTTGAATACACTTAGACAAACATTTCATCATTGCCTAAAGCAGGTATCAAGGAAAACATAAAGGAATTTCCTTTTAACATTGGCTTGAGCACAAACAGTGTAAATTATTATTGAATACAAAACGTTTTCTTCATAAACAATAATATTCCTTGAGGTTGAATTAACACATATTTCAATCCAGCAAAGTTTGACAAATCATTATGGTAGCCAGTGGCAGATGCGTACCTAGTTCCTCGGGATTCTTGCATGCTTTGGTTAAATTTACTGACGTACAGACTTTGGTTTCTCTTTTCCACTGGCTTCTCCCACTGATCACCACCTGGGAGGACAAGAGAGGATAACATTGCTGTTTTGAAAAACACTAAACAAATGAGAAAGGATTGATGGGAATTTTGAATTGGAAACAATATTTCCATCCGCAGGAATGTGTCTAATTGAAAAAAGGGGAACGGATAATGAATAACATCAGTAAAAAGGAACATAATGTTGACATGTCTCTAATGCTTCCTACCACAGGGACCACAGAGGCTCTAGCTTTATCAGGAAATGGCTTCAAGGATTTAGCAGACTTTGTATTTTGTGACAGAATTTGGAAGTGTCAATTCTTGTGCGTTGAAGCATAACCATAACCGAAACTGATTGAGATTAATAGGGGAAACCTGCATAGTCATCGTTTTTCTGGTGATATAATGATTTATTTATTGTGTTATTTCTTGTAGAGTGCAGTTTAAATACATTATTTTTCAGAGAGTACAATAATTAACAATCTTACCCTGTTGGATACCACCTCCAACTTCAGGGGCACTGCTTCTCTGTCACCGTCAATACCAAACCGTTTACTGGCAGCGCCTTTTTAAAGAGAACATGAGAGCAGTGTTTCAGTTATTCTCGTTAAAAATAATGCTACAATACTGTGAAATATGATAAGAAAAATCCGGGCTTATGAACAAGTACAGCTCAGGATTTTTGCATTGTGAAATGAGTTTTAAATACAGCGTTAAATATAGAATATATTACATTTGCAATGACAGATCATTTAGTTTAAAGAATATTTTGAATAATGGAATAAGTCATTTTCTCTGTAACTACCGGACATGAGGCATACATACAGAGCTTTCCCCGAATTTTGACTTCCTAAAACTGAAATAAAAAAAAAAAAGAACTGCATGTGGTGGTGACAAGTAAAACTAAAAAAGTAGAAGTAGACTGAATCATGAAATAGAAATAACAGATGTTCCGCCACCATAAATGGAGTCCTGTTTCAACCTCATAAATACTTCCATGGAAAATGTGGAGGTTTTTATTTATTGTGTCACTGTTGCTAGGATATGAGCGTGTGTTCTGCTTGTGTGTCACACTCACCCATGGCCTTTATTGCTCGTGTTCCTGCAGTGTGACCCAACTCTAGGGAGTGGATGAACACCTCAGTCCTCCTCTCTCCACCAGCTAATGTCAGCTGCAACACCAAAGATCTTCAATCAATGTATGGCTTTTGAACAGTGTAACATCTCTTAATGCAATGACCCACAGGGCTTCAGGGCAAATCTCTTCACACGGGTGCTAAAATCTGGTCCTTTATTATAATGTGTTTTTGCTTGGTATGTGTTTTTTTGTGTAAAAATGTGTGTCTCACCTCGGCCTGATAGAGCTGGATGAGGGTTGGCCGGGAAGCGTTACGGCAGTAGTACAGGACCAGATCGGCCAGGATGGGCAAACGCTGCTCATATGAACTATCATATGACTCTGACTCCGTCTTTGAGGTTTGCTGCAGAGCAAAACAAAAACAACAGAATACTCATGATTTATGGAAGAACAGCCTAAACCAAACATTGGACATTTATGTAATGAGTTATTGCTCTAGGCTTGATCTATCTGCATGATAGCAATATTGTGGCAACAGACAGCACTAGACTAGGGTGTGTTTCAGTTTTGGCAGTGTAAAAGTTAGATTCCAGTTGTACCTGGCAGACGACGTTGGCAGGCAAGTTCATCAGGCTTAGGGTGTTTCTTTCGTACCAAGGGTCCAACATACCAAGGAGGTTGGCAATGTCATTAGTGCTGTCCCCTGTGGCCGTGAGGTGGGGATCCTGGTTAAACAAAAGCATAAATTATAATAGTTGAATTTTCACATCTCTCTGTTAACTCAACTGTACAGCTCTGCTACTTACAGCTAAGTAAATACATCTTGTTCTCAAAGTATAGTATTTGGTTGGAGAGGTGTTCTACTTACATTAGACAGGGCTGCTCCTTTGGGACTTTGAACCACAGGACCCTGAGACTTCAAACTCCCCTGCCCTGCTGCAGAGTCCCTCTTTACCGGCACAAAGTAGAACTGAAGCCTGAACACCCTGCTGAGACGCGGACATGCACTCTCCTTCCTCCTCAGGCTATTGTAGGCTCTGGCCACCTTGCCTGCTACGTGATCAGCACCAAACACCACCACCCTCAGCGTGGTATTCTGATTGTCCTCGTCACTGCTGAGAATGGGCCTCCTTCTGAAGCAAACATGTCTGAGAGTTTGACTTGGTGGCTGGAAAAAGGGCTCAGTACGACGTAACTTAACCTGTTGCGGCAGAGAGTTGGAGCGGGGTTTGTCTCGCACAACTAAAAGGTCTTTGGATTCTGTGTTTCCTAAGCTTTTGGCCCGATATAGTAACCGGGGCCCCTTAGGTTTGCTGAAGAGCCGGTACAAGTGCTGGCTGAACCGAGCTTTGTTAATTGGCTTTTCCTTGACAGGAGAGGAGCAGAGGTTGTCGTCAGAATCTTCAAAGAAGTCACTATCAGCTCCAGAAGTGACTGAGTAGAGGGACGGAGGGTAGGACTCTGAGGCTACAGACAAGGTGGATAACATGGAGTCTTTGGAGGCGGTGGACACGGAGGAGATGGTGGATGCACGATTGTGCCCATAAAGCATGTTAGATATTAAAGGCAACTCTACTCCATGTTCGTCCTCTTCTTCTCCTTCTCCGTTATCATGACCTGTCACATCCTCCTCCTCCTCCTCCTCCCCCTCCTCCTCCTCTTCATCTTCATCATCAATGTCCACCTCTTCTTCTTCCTCAGCATGCCCATTAGTTTCCTGGTCATCGGGCTCATGTTCCAGAAGTGTGTTCAGAATATCTGCAGGGATAAAAAACGAGAAAATATCAAATCATATTCAGTTAATTTCATCTCCAAATTGGGGATGTTATTCCTGGAGCTAAAGAAGAAAAACTGAATCTTGATCAGGCCAAAGAAAAAAATTGATATTTGTCCTTTGTGAAATGAAGAATACTTTACCAAAGTTATCTTTTTCCCAGTGAAACATGAAACACTTGGCTGTAGGCAAGGGTAGAGTTTGTAGCATTCCTGGAAGGCACAAAAGAAAACAAGAGTAAAACAAAACCCTATCAGAACAACACATGCCGGGAACTGAATTATTATGATGTGATAGCCCCTGTGTAGGAGCCAAAATGCTTGTTTAGCCATTGCTTATTATTTCTATTATTTGTTTACAACCCTTTCATTTTAATTGTAAATTACTTCTGGCAATTATCACATGGGTGTGGTACATTGGAATTTAAGTCACCAGTTCATAAAATCTGCCCTCTTACCATCAGACCTTCTTCCATTGGATGCTGGGACTCTCATGCTCTCCCTCAGTTGCTCGAGCCCCTGGATCACATGACTGCGACCCTTCACAGGGTCCTTCATAGCCGCAGCGGCCTCTAAGACATCACTTATCGTGGAGAAGATTGACCCCAATTCATTCACATTTTTGGGCTGAAAAGAGTAGTCACGATATGTTATAGTTTAGGTACACATCTTGACACATTCCTGTCTACTTCTTTAAATAGCAACACTATTTTATTTTTGCTTCTTCAAAAGTATGTCAATAAAGTGCACTAGATGTAATGCTACACATGTCCTTTGATGGTATTGTTTACAAGGTTATCAATTATCTTAAATACTATGAACTACTGGTGTTCATTTCAAACGTATGTAAACAGGCTTTCTATATACCTGTTTAGAAATAAGAATTAAACCCATTAACAAAAGGTAAGTAACATATCATTTAATTGTGTTTCTTCTAGTCGACAGTTTAGAGCTCTAAACATACCTGCAGGGCTCTATGGATGCTTTGTAGAGGGTACTTGGTGCCTAGTGAGGACTGGAAAGCGTGTTTGATCAGGTTGATGAAGGTCTCTTCCTGTGAGTGCTGTGTGCGACAGAGCTGCTCGGCCACTGAGAGAAAGTCAGCGGGCACCTCGCACGGGTTCATCAACAGCACCGTCCTGCAAGCAGCAACACAGATGGTTTCACTGGTAAAGTGTAAACATCTATGCAAATGTATATGGGAGAGGGTGCAAACGGTATGGTAGTGGTGCATTAAGGTGGCGTTGAAGGGGATGAATAGGGACTTTCCAGGTCAGGAAGTACTAACCACCGCAATGCTATCACTCAGTTAACCTATTGACACTGAGTGCTAGTTTTCTCTTTACTTTAAAAGTATCATGTCAGATCAGGTTATCTTGAACCACCAACATGTAGAAACGGGACCAATTTACCACAGATAATCTGAAATGAACTGAAAATTATTTGTCATGATGAACATACCACTGCCAAAAGGGCTTTACAAACAAGTTGCACTCACACAGAGTGGATTGTTTACTTATATCACCATCGCTTTTGTAAGCATCATATCCTACGTTGTGTACAGCGTGCATAGCCTACTGTACAGTGTATTCTTGTGTTTTAAAGTCTACACAGAAAACGTTTTTTTAGTTTTTATTTTCTGAACTTACATGGTCTTGGAGCTCTGGCCAGGGGAGTTAAGGAACTGTTCTTCTCTCACCAGTCTCTGAAAGGAAATCCCTGTTGGTAAAATAGAAGAAATATACTCTATTAGTGAATTCCATCTTGTGATACTTTTTAAAATGAACAACTCAACAACAACAACAACACAAGGTTACTTATGAAAATGTCCTAGAGTTGCCCAGTTGCAAGCAGATAAAGTAGTAGAGTTTTATTTAGGACGACAGACACACCCATGATGATACGTCACCAACAGGTGCATGATGCTACCTGCCCAGTGAGATTCACCCTAAAGGCTAAATGCAAAACAATAACTGGTGATTTCCCTGTGGCTGCAAAGAAGTTATTGAGCGCCAACATTTTAAAAGCTTTGAGGAGGCAGAGGGACAGACTGAGAGGGCTGTATATTGTTTGAGAATGAACAAGCAGAGAGGATGACGAGGTGCACAAGACTCGCAGAATGACAGGTGAGTACATTAATGCACCTTAATAAATGTGATGTGTTAACATGCTGCCCTCTGTTTGCATTGATGTATGCATATGGCTGCAGTCGCTGTGGACTTTATTACGAAATTATCTCTGTGTTGTCTGCTTTTTGGCGTTGTATTCTGCTGTGCTGAAGATATTGTATGCGTTGGACCCACTTTAGTGTCCGTCATTATTTCTTGTAATTACTTTTATTTATTTGAAAAGCGCATCAAATCACCTTGTTTCAATCATTCATTCAACAATTTAAAAGAAAGGTTGTGGCTGAGACTGCATTAATTTATTCTTTTGATGTGTTATCAGCTTTGACCCTTCCTGTACATTTGAGCCTACTCAAAGTGTTTAGGCCTACATGTCGCTTCTTCTGCTTTTTGTTTTGTAAATACTGAGGCCTCATTGGCTTTCAAACCATTTCACATTAGAATGAAGAAGTGTCCAGTTACACCTCAAGCCTTATCATTTTCCTGTTATTGATGTTGGTCCTGCTGATGTTTGATGTACAATATAACTTAGCACTAAGCACTGTCCTCTGCTGTAGTGTCATTCTAAATGCATTTCATTGAATTGCCACTAGGGGGAGTGTGATTACCAAGTTTGAACGACAATAGTGTTTCAGAGACTCAGTCAAGAGAGTGATATAGAAATAGACACATTAACACGCACACACTACATATTGTGGTTCTACCAGTTAATCATCTATATTTACCGGGAGCCTTGATCTCCAGTTGTAGAGTTGAGAGGAGGTCTTTGCACACACTGCAGTAAGGCTCAGGCCAGGCGAGGAAGCAGCGAAACACCTCAATAGCTTTCTCAATCAAACCTTTGTCTGGAGGACAGTATGGAGTCTGCAACCGAGGCACAAATGAAGTATTTTAGTTGGGATCATACATTGCATTACTTACTGTACTCATCATTACTATATTAGTGGACCAACCACTCAGGTCTTTTTGAAAGAGGAGGGTTTCCTCAAAGCAAGTTATGATGTACAAACTTGTTATATTTTAAATTTAATCCTGATGGATCACGTAATAAAATCTGTTAATGTTATGTAAACACCTGTTAAGTACATTATCCAGCATGTATGCTTAATAAATGTGGCAATATAACTTTAACTGACGGCTTAAATCAATATTGGCTTATCCATTATTCCATTACTGCTCATTTTTGAAACCATGTCACATATCTTGGAGTTAGTTAAGCCAGTTCACTTTCCAAATTAATTATACAGTAATTTGTCACAATATTACAAAAATCTTAAGGGTATTACACTATCAATTGCTACACAGCGAGCTAACACTGGCATTCTTTGTAACCACTGAAAATAAAAAGTGTTGTGTGAAAGTGTTTGAATCATGCTTGAATATGTTCTCATAGTAACACATACTAAATACGTCATAGGGGTTTGCATTGAGGAACTAACAAAGGTTTTGAAAGTGCTCTTTCACGTCAAACACTGAATGGTACTGAGAAGTGAGGAAAGCTTAACGATTGATAACATGTTGATATTTATTTGTACCTGTAGCAATGTGGAGGAAAACATAATGGCGAGTGGAGCCACCAGCTCATACTGACACTGCTCCTGAACCTGAACTCACACACATTGAGACAGACAGACAGAGAGAGAACAGGGATTTGGGTGAATATTCGGCAACTATAGTACTTTTTTACTTAATTGAGACAAAACCACACATTACATGAACAGCGGACAACATCTTCCTCCCTTGACCTCTCACCTCTTTGGTCTTCTTGAGGATCTGTTGTAAGAGGATGATGAAGTTCTCAGGGTCCCTCTTCACCAGCTCCTCCAGGCTCCAGCGGTTCATTGACTGACCGGCAGAGCACATCAGCACTAAAAGAAGGCACATGTGGATTCATGTTAGTGCATAAATTCAGACAGCCTCATAGACATTGAACAAGATACAAAATGAACATGTTCTACCTCACTACTATTTGCCTCAACCCCCAAAAAGACAATGACTTACTGAAACCTCTCCAGCCCTGAGTTAGTTATATTTCACAGTAAGGTTTTGTGCATACTGTATGAGCAGAGCTGTGCCACGCTGCACGTACTTATTTGATTGATCATCACTAAATCAGTATTTTGTTTTTGAGTGATAGCAGACTAAATGAGACAAAGGCAATCACTCGACGATATTTACGACCCCATGTAGTGATACTAGGTTCGTTTTTGTTGAATATTTTGCTACCTAGTGCAACGGCTGTTTGCAGAGACCACTATATGTATATGGCCACTAGTCTAAAAATATACCATTTGCTACCACTACTAAATGGCTGGTGTATTATTTTGACAGCATCAACACTTATAGGTCAACACTGTTTGTAGTTGTGAATACAATTATAAAACACAACTTGTCTTTGTGCTTTTTGAAATACACGCTGATGAAACAGAGAGCAAGGTTAAAAGCCAAGTTTATTTAGCTTTCTGTACATTGTTCCATGTGAAAGAAGCCCTGTAAAACGCATTTTGTCCTTTGGGCCATCATTAAGAAGCAATTATTTATCACGAAAAACAAGAATTACACACTTATTATTTATTGCAACCTTTACATATGAGGCATTTAATTCCAATTGTTCATTTCAATAAATCGTAGCTTATAGAACTACAAGAAAAAACAGGTTGTTTATGAGTTGGGCCAAAGACCGGTCTGTAACAACTCACAGCAGGACGTTAAAGTCCATAACTGTTAGTGCTGGTGCACTTCAGGCGTGTGTTTTATCACCTTTTGTTCAGTGTTTATTGTTAGGATGTTTTGTCAAGACAGATTTCCTGTTGCAAGAAAACAGAGTTAAGGTATCCTCAAGAAAATACGTGTTTTGGTACTAAAAATAAGGAAATCTAATAGGGATAACTAGACTCATATCAATATTGCACAGTTAATAGGACGTTTTGGATCCCATTATCATTTTGTTTTCACAAAAAAAACACTAGAAACTGTATTTTAGACATTATAGCTTTTGAATGTCTAGGAAGAAGAATTGTTGAGATGCAGGTATCTATATCTTTGAAATGGAAATGTAATAAAACAACAGTAGAGATCTGTGAATACAGCATCTCACACAGCAATATGAAAAACACACACTCACAAAAACAACTAAGACTGATTGCTGACTCCTCACGAGCACCTACTATCCATTTGATCCCTCCGTCTCAACCACTCCAACTGCATCTGAGAGGAGCTCAGGTCCCAAGGCTATAACACATCAGCAGTATTTCGGGATACACATAAATGATTTCCATGAAAGTTCTTTATTTTTCTAAGGTTTTCTGCACTTAGGAGCATCATGAGCATTTCCCGGACAGCACTATGGTTTGTTTTTGATAAAATGCCATTAATGGAGATTAAGCCGCAGGTTTTCAAAAACACCCTGATAAGATTTCAATTAAAACATGTTGTACTTAAGTTCATATGATTGTAATCACACTTCTGTCCGTCAGTGGCTCAGTCAGTAGGGGCTTGGACTATGAGCCGTAGTGTCGCCGGTTCAAGTCCCCAACCAGACCTAAATATGGAGTGTAGACTGCTACTTGGAAAGGTTTCAGTTCACCTCCTGCCCTGCCGTGGGGCCTTTGAGCAAGGCACCGGACAACCCCCCACCCCCCTCACTCCCGTTGCTCCCCGGGCGCTCTGCAATAGCTGCCCACTGCTCCTAGTACTAGACTCCTGTTACTAGGATGGGTTAAATGCAGTGGCCACATTTCACTGTGTGCTCTGCATGTGTGACCATTAAAGAGGGGTTTCATCCCTCCCATTCTATCTATCTACTTAAATGCAACAAACCAAGCGGTAACCTACCAGCCTGAAACATGAAATAATTCTAAAGTTTGCTTTTTTATCTGATATCAAGGGTCTCAGGTCTATGAGCAAAATTACCCTTCGTTCTAGCCTAATTTCTGACCTCAGTTAACACGTACTGAAGGGTTTGTGGTTTCAACCTTTAGTTTCATGTCTCCTTCAATATGGCATGATATTTATTTTGCAAATAATGGTCACATGTATAGTACACTACATGAGTAAGGGCACATGTTGTGATGGACAGGTCTCTTCTTTGTACTAATGAAGTGAAGTGGAGAATGAAACCTGAAAAACAAACTCTTCAACTGGCATGTTTTATACATTTAAAATCATATAATCCTAATCGATCAGGGTATAAAACCTAGAACATGTTTGTATAATTACAGTAAATGTCAGAGCGTCCTTCGGGAGGCCGATGCCAATCTTATCTCCTGCAATGTTTTTACACCCTCTCACTAATTTGTGCCTCATGATGCCTCACTCACACACTGTGGTCTGTGCCACCACTTCCTCTCAGCTGTCTATTCACACAACTTCCTCCAGGCCTCAATAACGTTCCCCTGATGATCTAACAGCTAGTGCGTCATCAACAACAATCTCAGAAACCATATACTCAAATGCCTTTTGCTGAGTGTCTGTCCCAAGCTGCTCTTGTGTTGAGAAAGCAAGAACAAAAAACTGCCTTCTGTTCAAGTCAGCCCTGTAAACAGCACATTCAACTGTGTGTACTAGGGTGGATATTTCTGAGAAAATGTGTTGCTTGTACCAATTGGTTTGAATTATGGTGGAGGTTGGGTGAGTCTCTGACCACCTTAATTAAGACTTGGACCCCAATCAAAAGATGTTAACGTAGATGGGTCATGACGTTTGAATATCCTTGAATTCAATATTGCAATATGTTTTCCATATTCTTGCCTAGAAGAATCTCGGAATAAGAATGAAGACACCTAAAGTGGGCCATATCATTTTGTAACTCTGGTATTACCTGTATATCAGTATATGTATGATTACAAATACTTAATTTTATCACATGACACATTATGCTGTGTCTGTATGACTTCTCATATCTTAGATATAAGGTTTTATCTGAAAAGATGCATAATAATTCCCGCAAAAATCTTAATTGAAGCAGTGCAGAAACATTAGAAGTAGTTTTTACATGCGTCACTGCCTTCTTAAACCAAGTCTCAGCTGTGGTCCTTATCAATGCTGTGGCCCCTGGAGACTTACCGTTCCAGTGGTGAGCTGCTGTTGGGCTCTGTCTCAGCCCGTCCAGACATCTGTCCAGAAGGTGCTGGATCCTGTCCTCTGTGCACGACGTGTGCTGCATCCTTACTGCTCAGTTTCTGTGAAGGGACAGGAGACAGAGCTGGTCTTAGCAATCAGAATCTGATACATTCCCATTCATGTTTTCTGTGGAATTTTATCTCCAAATGAATTTACATGTGTTCAAAATGTTCACATACACGCATGCACACAAACATGTCCCTCTCTTTTCATGAACAGTATGTGTTTTATCACGTATGCATAAATGCAGGTCAACCAGTAGGTATGGAAATGTGTCTAAGATACACAAACCATAAAGGGAAATCTTTATAGGGGAAGGAAAAACAGACAGGGGTTTGCTTGTTTTGATATTTGGTTTCCATAGTTCCTGAAATGTCACATGCACATATGTTTTGAAGTCTGTTCTGCCTCAAATCAGTGAGTTTTATAAAAGGTTTTGCCACATTAGCTACCATGTTCAGTGATGTATGCAAATATTATATCATAGATCAACAAATAACCTTTAGCTTCTCGTGTTCACAGATGCTTACCCTTCAGCCATATGACAGTATATACAAAAACTAAGAAAACTATCTAGTCTCCAAATCACTATAAAAGGAGCCTTATTAAAGGTTCTTGCTGTACACATGCTGAGTAATTGCTTTAAAAAACTGCTTTTATAATAGACTAACAGAAAAAAACAGCTTGCAGGGATTTAGATTTAAAATCACTTGTAAAACAATGCTGCGGATCAGAGAGACATGTTGGAAAAAGACAAAGGAATAATTTCAGTTTGACCACAGACTTGTAAGTACATTATATCAACAACACTGACTCAGAAGGGTTTTTTGAACTTCACTTTTCGAACTTCCATTTATCTTTACTTTTACAGCATCAGAGGGCAATGTAGGAGTGGCTCCATGTTTCACTTCTGTTATTACCACCTCTCATCAGAAGCAATATGCATATCAAGAAACTGGGGACATCCCATCAGCATCGTGAAACATTGAAGTGACAGATTTATCTTTAAGGGTAACAACATCCATGATGGCAGGTCTTAAATGACACAATTAGAAAGCTGCAACACCAACCAAACAAAACCAAAAGTCACCTCGGACAGCTTGCCAAACCAATATGTTTCAAATTAACACACACATTCGTTCAGTGACCACTTCTTCACTGGCAACTACAACATTGCAAGTTTTCAAAATTCCCCAGAAAGGTGATTTTGTCGTGGAACAACTTGGGTCCGATATAATCAGACAAAAATAATCTCTGCACACCCCCTGTCTTGTCAAGAATTCATTTGTGATTCACACAAATGGTGTTAATGGTTGTTTGAAGGATAACAATGCTTTTTGGTTAATTATGTCACTTTGACTTTGCATACATTTAAACTACAAATATTGCGAGAATACCCAATCTAGCCAGTTTCTTGTTTTTTTGTATGTATGAATTTTATTTGATCAGACATTGTTAACTTCACATACAAACTAGGGTTAACTGGTTTACTGACTACAGCTTCTCCAGATGGGAAAAAGCTTGCAACTTAATATGCAGGATATATACATGTATATATAAAACACCTTATATGAATATATTGATATACACAACATTTAGACACTACACACATCTGTCCAATTAAGACATTTGTTGTAGAGCATGATTATTGAAGGGACAGATTTAGATTTTTTGTTCATGTTTTAGACTAATACTTGACTAAAAGGTATTTTAATAATGAATGAATATTCATTGGAACGTGGTTCAAAGGAAAGTAACGTGGTTGCTTGTTAATATATTTTTGAAGCTTGTCTTACCTAATCAAGTTTTACATGGAAATACTATATATACAGTATATATGTGCTACTTCTGGGAAAAGTCTAAAGAAAAAAAGTCTTGAGGAACAGAACAACTTTACTTCCCTCAAAAAGCTTTTTAAAGATTTGCTTTTTTCATTCGCATTTGACAAGCTGTGCAGTTTTTGTTTGACATGTAAAGCCACATTTTTAACAACCTAATAATTTAATAACTTAAATTTATATAGCGCCTTTCAGGGGACCCAAGGTTGCTTATTTCGATTATAATCAGAGCTAAATGATTATAATCAGAGCTAAATGTTGACACACAATGAATTCCTTGCTTCATTGATGAAAAATAAGTATACGTGTTTGTTAACCTATTCTTTAATAAGCATTTCAGCCCACAGAGACAGAGATTAAAACTGTTTTTGGCTGATTACATCTTCTCAAAATTTCCCCAGAGCATGCCACAAATTCCCCTTTTCACACCATTTAATTTTGTTATTGGATGAGTCACTTGCTCATACACACACACACACACACACACACACACACACACACACACACACACACACACACACATACATACACATACACACTGGACACTTCAAAGCAATAGGCTCACATTTTGGAGAATATCATTATTTGTCTTCACTCTTTGCAAAAGCCTTAAAAAATATTGATACCTATTGCATATCCATTTGCTTAACTAATTTATTTGAATGGAGACTGTCTGAGGATAACAAAATCCATCTACCAGCAGGTGCGATTTATCCTCTACTCCAGGCTTTATGCTAAGCTAGCTTTGCTAAACAACAGCTGGCACTGAGTGGTATTGATCGAAGGTTCGTCGCAAAAGTGTACTTACCAGAATGTCGAACTATTTCGTACACCAACCCACACAAACACACCTATTGAAACGTTACAAACCATTGTTCATTCATGCTTAATAAAGTATAATACAGTTGGTCCCTGACACAGAGTGTGGCAGGAAGCTCTTGCAAACCAAAGACCGAGAAATAAAGCTCATTTATCCCCCTCCACTTTACTCCCTTTCCTACAGTTACCATTCAACAACAATACCTCCAGCTCCAGAGGTAAACACATCCATGTAGCCCTTGTTCTCAGTACCTCCTCCCCAGAGAGCCATTGTGTCTAAGAGGTGTACAAGTGGCACTGAACAGGGGAATAGAGCCATGCTTTTTGGACACTTGTGCTTAGCACTCCGGTCATTGTAAGGGTTGGACAGGACTGGATGAAAGCCCGGTCAATGTGGAAGGAACTAATAAGTCAGATACTGTACATGATGACTCCTGCATCCAGGATGGGGTTCAATGGATACGTGTTATGGTAATAAAGAGTTGAAGACACTATGTGAGGTGGCAAAACGCAGCGAAAGTGTGGTTTAGAGGACAGCATCGAGTTGTTATGTTGGTGTCATTTTACAGTAGTAGTCGAATTGTATATAAGTAATGGAATCATATTTCTCTAAAAGAAAAGTTTGACACAAACATGTCACAAAGATTTTATATTATGTCTTTAAGTCTTTGCTGATGGATATTTCCCAACTCAAACATACTTCTGTATCTAAGCTTTATTGTAACAACAGAAGGCTATGTTGCCATGGCACTGTGAGTGGTGTAATCTCCTATAATCTGCCACAATATACATTTATTGGGATTTTAACAGAAAATGTCAATCCCAACTCCAGAGTGTCAGCATAGTTGTTGACGTGGAGTTTCTAGTGGTGTTACAAATGCATGATTCTCTAATGTTTCATAAGAGGATATATGCAGCACATCCGAAGGTCACTTCCACTTTTTCATTGGTTGCAAATTTAAACAGTCAGACAATAACAAGTAGTGTTCTTGTAGTGGAAGAACGACTATAAATTCACACTGGACTGACAGTTAATTCCATTTCCAAGATTTCTGCACCTCCACCTGTGTCTCTCTTTCTCAAGCTGTCCTCCTTTTGCAGACTGCTTCCCATCTTTCCCACTGATCCCATTACCAACTGCTTCCTAACAGGAAGGTGGCGTCCCTGCTCAGCTGAGGAAGCAGGTGCCTCCCTATTGTTGTGGTGTGATCAGACTCTCAGATATACTCCCACAGACTAGGGAGAAGAGCTTGTGTATGTGTGTGTACATTATGTCTGACTGTCATTTTATCTCAACCCTCCCACCATTTAAAGAATATGATATTCAGATCCAGGGCCTCCTCCACTGGCCAATAGAGCTTCTCTACCCCCTTTCTCTCCACTGATCCACTGGATGTGAACTGGCTTTTCTTATGGCTTTAGGAAACCCCAGCGGCCAAACTCCAAAGCTCGTCTGTAACTAAGTGCTTCCCTTCAGTTCAAACAAATACTACCGGTGGGAACTGAACAGTCTAAGTGGACCACTGTTTAGCATAAAACACATCACTGGGTCTAAAAACCCAGCAAGAGCACTCATGGATATGTGGATGTTGGAATTTCATTTTTTTCTAAATATTTTCTAGGATTTATTGCTCAAGTTGGCAGTGAGGTGAGATTGTTTTATTAACTGCTGTCCCCAATGTCAAGTATTCACTTTGTATCTTATTTTAAACCTTTTTCGGCAGGTTAATGAAAAAAATAAGTTTTAATGGAGATTGGAGATGATTATTTCCCTGATAAGGAATAACTGCATGTCAATATCATGCTGTACTTATTACCCCTCTTCACATAAAACATACTCAAGTAGGCCAATAGTATATGCAACTTTATATAAGAGACTCAAACAGGAAGTAATGACTTAAAAAAAAGAAATAAGCGAGAGACAACTCTTTGCTCTAGTTAATCTAACAGAACCAAAACATAGTGGTTGTTACAGAAAATATATAACATTTGGTATTCACTTCCTCAATAAATCCTGATAAACATAATCATAACACTACCATTAATGCAAATATCAGGTTCTGTATTATCAAGTCATAATACTTAACTCCAAACAACAGGCAGCCAGTAAAGACTATAATACACCAACATAACTATGTTCCTGTCTGCTCTGTTTCACAACACTAAGTTTGAACATTCAACAAATTATGACATTTTCCTGCATATTTTCTTGATCTCCAGTAGAAACGTTATCCTATTATATTTGATTGAATGCAATTGAGAAAAAACACGTTTTCACCACTCCTACATCCCTTATTATTTAGTAACAGCAGGTGTGATGCAGATGCATATTTTCACATATACGGGGGTGTTGACCTCAAAGTATTTGTTGTAAAGGTGAACATGAAGATTTCACTGATACAACAGCCGTAAAAAGGCAAACAGGAAGCACCGTGGTGAATAACAACCAGCGTTGAACTCGGATACTGCGTTTAAAAAAACACATTAAAGTGACTTGCTTCAATCCTGTTATCTCATATCTGTTGTAACAAACAACAAGCGTGTCAATATCTGCTCCGTTTAAGACATTTAATTAATCTGATCTTTTCTCAGCTTTCTTTCAAGCCTGACACGTGAACTCCTATGGCAGTTGTTATTTCTCAACAGGAGATGATTGTATTGAAACTGATTGTGTAATGAGACAATTTCTAAGAAAAATTGATGACTCCGTTCTTAGGTTGCGCAGGAGAAGTTGGTCCTTATCTGTCAAGTTGAGGGCAAGAAACAAGGAATTTGTTAAAATTAAGGCTATGGTGAAAATGTATTGTAATGTTTTTTTATTAAGACTCATAACATAATAGATCACCAACAAGAGAAAAGGTTGTTCATTAAACGAGGAGGCAGTGTTTTTCTCATGGAGAAATCAAAGCTCAATGTAGCTACTTTCATTTCATTTTGTGCAATCAAATCCAACCTCAAGAATACAGCAGCATAGATTCGAAACTTGAAATTTGGAATCGAGTCAAATCACAAAAAAAAAAACTCGAGGCTTGACTTGCATTCAAATTGAGCAAAGCCACACTACTGGAACATTTTAAATAATGTTACTTCTTATGATAAAAGAACCGTTCTCAGACTAAGAAAAACACTTTAAAATAACACAGCTTTAAAAAGAAAATGTTTAATCATGAAATAATACAAATCTACACTTTTAAAGTTAGTGTTTAAAAGACCTGAGCTTACTTGACGGCTGTAGCTGCTCCTCGTGTCACACCTGAACCTCAAACTAAACCCTTTACAGTCGATGTGCTTTGTGGGTAATGGAGGTGCCGGGTTTGACAAGCAAGAATTACTGGTGCTGCTGCGCTGATTTTGATCCTCGTGTTTTTTAAACTATTGATTGTGAGTGCAAAGCTAAAACAGGATAATATGAGTTGTTCAACTTAACACTTCAACTGGGCAAATAAAACAAATTAGAAAACGTATTTTTCATATGGATGGTTTACCTGAATAAGACCACTGGAGATTATAATTTGCCATCTTCAGTTACTTCTCTTACATTACTGCTTATGATAACCTGAATTAAAATGTCACCTTCATTGACCCCCTACGATGACTGTACCTTTTAATTCACATGTGACAGACATGTTGTTGGTTTTGTAGTGCAAAAGGATGTAGAGTTCAGGCGTTGGCTCAGTAAAGTTTCTATTGGGTGGAGCCTCCAACGAACACTGACAATCAATCTGAAGTTTGCTTCAAAGACAGTTACCAGGATTGTAGTCATTCATCACTGGTTGTCACCTTTCAGCACAGTTTTTATACTTATTCAAATAAATGAAGAATAGAGTAAAGACTTCTCAGTGTTTGTCATTGTGTGAAATGCATATAAATGTACACCTGCTCTGTAAAACCTGCTTCAGCCACTGCCTATCACCCCAGGAACATGAACCAATATAACTTTGTCTCTAAAGTACTGACTAAATAATTATTTCCATTTACAGATACAGGCATTCAAAGTGAGATAACTACCAGGCGCCTACACATGGTTCTGTGTCTCTACTTCCTCAGCATTTATTAAAAACATGAATCGTAAAGAGCATGTGAAAAAGCAGAAGTTCCCTAAAATGGTATCACAAGGGGGGCCGCTGTGCTCACAGAGGGGGGCTTGTCAACATGACAGCTTTTCCCATCACTGTGACGCTGATGCTGCGTTTCAGCTCTTCTGACACAGAACAAGAGGCTTTTTGCAGAGAAGAAAAGATCTTGCATATTGTAAAAAAAAAACAATAACATGAGTCAAAACAAGATGACGTGGAATGTTGACAGCTTTAAAAACAGGAGTCCCCAATATGTCAGTATATTATCATTTTGAATACTGTAGAAGGATGAAGATAATTAATCTGTAATTAAGTAATACTGTCAAAAGTGATTGTATTCTGGGGTAATTGGTGGATGTTTAGTTGCAAACATTTGAACACTTCCAGATCAGTGTCTACTGTCAGTCATGGAGTCACTGTTTCCTGAACATTACCAGAAGACAACATTATCAGATCATCATGCAGGCTGACATTCATTTACTGCTGTCCACGTCTGATCATGGAGCAAGGTGCCCTTTCAAAATAAAGTGTACTGTTACTGTACGTCAAATAAACTTGATTGTCTTACCTGCAGTTTACCATCCAGCATTCATCGCTTCTGTATGCATCAAAAGAGTCCTGAAGGGTCTTCAGTTTACTGCTAGCCATTCATTCAACACGCACATCACGGTTTAACAGGCAAACCCACATCCTGGGCATGGCAGGCAGGCAGGCAGGCAGTGCAGCGAAGTGAAATCAGCCTCTAGTATCTGGTTGTAGCTCTGTGCTGCGCTCAAAGACTTCTGCGCCTCACACATGCAGTGCGCCTCACAAACAGGAAGTGTATGAAAGAGGTGCATGTGAGCACAATGAGGGAGGCTGCTGGTGTGTGTGTGTGTGTGTGTGTGTGTGTGTGTGTGTGTGTGTGTGTGTGTGTGTGTGTGTGTGTGTGTGTGTGTGTGTGTGTGTGTGTGTGTGTTTGAGTACCTATCCCCTGTGTGCCTTGGCAGTGTGTGTGTAGGTGGGAAGTGGCATTGTGTGTGTTTTTCTTCATGCGTGTGTAGGAGGTTGCATGTGGATTTTGAAGGGATGTTGGCCCTTAAAAGGAAGTCATCAGTTTGACGTGTTTGTGTTCATGCTATTTTCACACTTGACTGAAGTGTCTTTGTTTGGGTTTTCTGGCTTTGTTCATTATTTTCTTAATAAGATAGGGGGTATTGGTTGTACTGTCTGTGCTTAATGGTATTAACACAATACACACAAAAAGAGTAATTCAATTTTGACCTATCAACATTTCATAATCAATGATGTAAACAAGTAATATTTCTCACCTGTATCAAGATATAATATACATTTCAAGTCTCAACGACTGTTACTAATAACACTGTGTGTATAAATCACAATTCTTTAGAATGAATTGGAATACACTGGCCCCTTCTTTATTTCCTTACAGTTTGAGGTCCATATTCCTAGTCTCTCTGCAAACCCCTCCTACAGGGAAACACAGAACTTACTTCCCCCTCCTGCTTTGCTTCTCATTTACATTTCATGTTATTAGTGCGACTGTGAATTCCCCTTCTCTAGAATTGAGGGAAATATTGTCACGCCATACAAAACAGTGACAGTAAACAGTTTTCCTTGCCAATCTCAACACAATTTTTAAACTTTCTAAACTTGTTTACATGCACCCTTTTGTATTTGAATGACCTTTATACCTAATGAGTTTAATGAAAAATGGCAAAGCAAGTGGATAATCATGTATGTACATATTGTTTCTACTTAACTCTTTCTTATAACATGTTGGCAACGTATTTCGTATTTCCAAAAAATATTCAATATAAATTGCTCAATGTTATTCAATGTAATCAAGGAAAACATGTTAGAGTTGGTACTATCAAAAATACAGTCTTGACGATGGAAGGAGTCAGTTAAAGAATGTAACTGCATAATTGACATCACAATTTTTTTTGAAGTAATTTGTATCTTCTGGTTGTGATTAATAACCAAAACTTGGTCCAGAAATTGCGTCAGGTTTGCATCTGGAAATTAAATGAATGGAAAATGGCTGAATGAAACCAATTGCAGAAGAGAGAGGAAAAAAAAGCTATGTTGAGATAAATGAAAAAACGGCGGATTGTCAGAAATGTTTTTGTTTGTTTGATTGTTTTAAATTTCACTTCTCTAATTGTTTTATTTCTAAAGAAGCAGTATGTAAGCCACGGCAGGATGATGATTTCCAGAGAGGGAAGTATAACCTAGAAATTATTAACAAAATTGGATCGAATGCAAATTATATTTTGTATCATAACAACTGTAGTTTTGGCTTATTTTACTGTAAACTTTGTGTATCATGTAAATGTTAACAATTCCTTTGGTTTCTGCAATTCAGCTTTACAGACAGGTGAAAAGCTGTCAAACATTTGCATGATGTTATTCTTCTTTCCCGCTGGTGAAGCGGGAAGTGTCCTCTGAGCAGATCTGTTCTGACATAATGAGATACAATTTTTTTTATTCGTCTTTCCCAGCAAGAGCTGAAATGAAGAACTAGCTATAACCTGCAAAAAATGTGATCATCCGGTGTTGTTTGTAAGAGTGTATTTTTATTTGTCTGTGTCGACTTGACTGTTTTACCTAAAAATCTTATGTAACACTAAAAAAACCTTTTGCTGAAGTTCACTATTTATGAATAGAATAGAATAGAATCGGTTAATGTCATTATACATATCCAATTAGATAAATAAATGCTTCTCCCTTCTGGAATAAGGAATAAAGTGCTGTAATTATTTCCAGGAGTATAAAAATAAAATCTATAATGTAATAAATAATAATAGTAGGTATGTATTTATAATAATAATGATATATATGTATATGTACAGAGTCACATTTATTTCACATGCAGGATGATTAAGAGGTATGACTTTCAGGTGTTAAGAGCAATGATGGCTCTTGGGAAAAGCTG